TAAGTAGCTTTGAGACTGCTGGCAGTAAAGAGAGCGGTGTGGTGATAGTTCAAGTTTCTATACAGAGTTATGTTTCAGATAAAGAGCTCTGAGAATGAGCTGACGTCAAGAAGTTAGGGAAGGTAGAGAGAGAAAGTAGAGATACAAGGTCCTAGCAGAGGAGCCGGGACATTAAGCACAGGTTAAATCATTAACCTTGGGCAAGAAAACAGAAAAAATCACTTATTTGTCTGAGACTGCTTACTAGCTTCCCAGGTTTTTCACTACCAAAGGCCATTTTTATTATTCCCCACCTTCCAAGAGCCACAGATTTTCAAAGATTTTGATGATCAGTTTTAAGCTTTTATTTTAATTACAGTATAATTTATATCCAATGCAATGTCCAGATATTAAGTATACTGCTTAATGAGTTTTGAGTATTGACTTTAATATATTAATTCATTTCCTATTATTATTACTCAAAGGTATAGAAAATTGCCAATCAAAATTCAGGATTATCATCAAGTTAATACAGTCTCGCTTAAAGTATGGATACTTGACCTTTTAGTTAACCTGTTTAGCCTGTTTGAGGCCTTTTGAAATACAGAACCATATTAGTTCATAGATCCATATCACTATCCCCTATGAACCCTAAGAATCCAAGAACCCCAAGTGGGTAAACAGACACAATCAGTTATAGGACTAGCTGGTCTGGAATTACAGGACCATTGTTGACCTTAGGCCAAACACTTTCTTTCTCTGCTTTAAAAATTGTTTTTAAGGTGTGCAACATGATGTTCTGGTATTCATATGCATGATAACATGGTTAGTAGAGTCAAGAAAATTAATATATCCATCATCTCACATGGTTGCTTCTTTTTTTGTGGCAAGAGCATCTAAAATCCACTCTTTTAGCAAAAATCCCAAATATACAACACAATATTACAGGTTGAGCATCACTAATCCAAAAATTCAAGACCCTGGCTGGGCACGGTGGCTCATGCCTGTAATCCCAGCACTTTGGGAGTCTGAGGCAGGTGGATCATCTGAGGTTAGGAGCTCAAGACCAGCCTGGCCAACATGGTGAAACCTGTCTCTACTAAAAATACAAAAATTAGCTGGGCATGGTGGTGTGTGCCTGTAATTCCAGCTACTCAGGAGGTCAAAGCAGGAGAATCTCTTGAACCTGGGAGGCAGAAGTTGCAGTGAGTGGAGATCTCATCACTGCACTCCAGTCTGGGTGACAGAGCGAGACTCCATCTCAATAAATAAATAAATAAATACATTTTTTTAAAGTCTAAAACCCACAATGCTCCAAAACTTAAAACTTTTTGAGCACTGACATGATGCCACAAGTAGAACATTTTACACCTAACGTCCTGTGATAGGTCACAGTCAAACTGCAGTGAAAACTTTGTCTTATGGACAAAATTATGAAAAATATTATGTAAAATTACCTTAAGGGTATATTTGTAAGGTGTATATAAAACAAATGATTTTCAAGTTTGGACTTGGGTCTCATACCCAAGATATAATATGTATGCAAATATTCCAAAATCCAAAATATCCAAAATCTGAACTACTTCTGTCAGAGGCAAGTGAACCAGAGCAACTCCATCTTAAATAGGAGCTGGGTAAAATGAGGCTGAGATGTACTGGGCTGGATTCCCAGACGGTTAAGGAATTCTAAATCACAGAATGAGATAGGAGGTCAGTACAAAATACAGGTCATAAAGACCTTGCTGATAAAACAGGTTGCAGTAAAGAAGCTGGCTAAAACCCACCAAAACCAAGATGGTGATGAGAATGACCTCTGGTCGTCCTCACTGCTACACTCCCACCAGCTCCATGACAGCTTACAAATGCCCTGGCAACATTAGGAAGTTACCCTATATGGTCTAGAAATGAGACACATGAATAACACACTCCTTGTTTAGCATATCATAGGAAAATAGCCATTATGAGCAACCAGCAGCTCTAAGGCTGCTCTGACTATGAAGTAGCCATTCTTTTATTTTTTTACTTTCTTAATAAACTTGCTTTCACTTTATGGGCTCACCCTGAATTCTTTCTTGTGCAAGATCTAAGAACCCTCTTCGGGGTCTGGATCGGGACCCTTTTCCTGTAACATCTTTTTGGCAGCCACAAAGGGGCTATAGTGCAGAAACCCCCAGTAAGTTTTGGGGTCCTGTAACATCTTTCTGGCGAACATGGAAGGGACCATAGTGGGGAAGCCCCGCACCCAAAAGTTAACTTTGGGCAAGTGGGTCCTTTAACAACACCTTTCTGGCAACCACTGAAGCAACTATAGTGAGGAAACCCCCAACCCAAAAGCTAACTTTGGGTAAGTGGTAGGGGCTGGTAACATTTTTCTGGCAAATCCCGGAGGTACAATACTGAAGAAGCCCTACAACCCAAAGGTAATAGAGTGTAGTACTGATCAGCTGACTTTGGGTAAGTGGGAGCGGCAGGGGGTACCTGGGTAATGAATGGGATTGGGTTAGAGGCCCAATTTAAGAGAATTAGAATCTCTCCTAAAAGAGAGAAGGGTTAAAGCCTCCTCTCAGTAAAAGACAAGGACACTTGACCAATTTTGGTTTAGATGCCCAACTTAGGAGGCTTAGAAATCCTGCTAAGATTTAGGGGGTTAGAAGTCCCTCTCAGTAGAGTCCTTCTTGGCTAAGAATGGGCTTGGTATTACAGCATGTTAACTGCTATTCTCTTTGGAGTAATCTGCCTTCCAGTCCCTGCTGATGGCTATGGGTGACAGGATTAGGCATGTTCAAAATCGTGGGACATGGAGAGCTTTTTCTTAACTGAAAGGGGAAACTTGAGAGCTGATGGGACTGCTGCAAAAATCTCTTCTCGACTGACAAGCAGCTACCTGAACTTTTCAGTGGCTGCATGGGTGGGTCTTTTTCTGGCCTCCCTGAGCATTTCACCTTCTCCACCCTGCCACAAGCAACATTTTTCTCTCTCTCCTTTCCATTTCTTATCTTTTCTATTACTCAGGGTGACCATCTTACCCAGAGACCACATGTTGAAACTCTTGGTTAGAGGTTGGGTTAACAATGATGGGGGCAAGTTTGAGCCTTGCCAGTTTGATACTGGGTGTTAAGCAGAGTGGCTAATATCTATGTTTTGTCACACATATTTTGCTCTGGCCAGAATGGAAAAAGATAAATTTCCTTTGTGTTGCGGCTTGGCCCTCAGGGATGTGATGCAGCCAGCCAGGTCTCAGGGAGGGGGAACCCAGAAGCCTGGCAAGCTGGCAATAGGATGAGAATTTCTTACCAGTCAGACTTCTGGTCTCTCTCTCTCTCTCTCTCTCTGTGGGTGTGGGTGTGGGTGTGGGTGCATGCAAACTTGATGAGGTTTCCTTCTGGTCAGTCACCTTGGGAGCTTGACCTTGTAACCATGTGGCAGTACTTTCCCTTGGTCTCTGCCATCACAATTGATGCCCAGGTTCAAGGTTCAATTCCTGGTTTAGAGGGATGATTCTTTATCTTCTGTCTGTCTATGTATTTATATGTATTATGTGTGTGTAAAATAAAAGAACTGACAAAACAGTTCTACATGCAAAGTGTGTAAGAAAAGTGAAATGTGTTTTTGGTGAAAGATTATAAGAAGGTATGGGAATACGGATTTTTCTTGCCCAAATTAAAGGGTTAAATGATTGTTTTAAGTAAGATAGACTAATGCTGAAGGTTAAGAAGGTTATGGAAAGTTTGTAAAAAATTAATCTTGTAAAAAAAGATTGTATATGTGGACATGGGTGAAAATTAAAGGGGTATTATTCAGTTTTTCCATAAGTTAAATATTGGAATAAAAGCACAACTGTTTTTCTTAGAGCAAAAACCTGCTTATGATCTGCTTTTTAACAAAAATTTGTAAAGGGTTATAAAAGGTTTATGAAAATCTTACCTTATGATCAAACTGATTAAGATTAAATGCATTTATCTAGAAGGTTTCATTAAGAATTGGGTTTGACTGGCCAGTCATGATGGCTTATGCCTGTAATTCCAGAATTTTGGGAGGCCGAGGCAGGCAGATCATGAGGTCAAGAGATTGAGACTATCCTGGCCAACGTGGTTGAAACCCTGTCTCTACTGAAAATACAGGAATTAGCTGGGTGTGGTAGTATATACCTGTAGTCCTAGCTACTAGGGAGGCTGAGGCAGGAAAATCATTTGAACCCCAGAGGTGGAGGTTGCAGTGAGCTGAGATCACACCACTGCACTCCAGCCTGGTGATAGAGGGAGACTCTGGGGAGGGATAACATTAGGAGAAATACCTAATGTAGATGACGAGGGGATGGATGCAGCAAACTACCATGGCATGTGTATACCTATGTAACAAACCTGCATGATCTGCACATGTACCCCAGAACTTAAAGTATAATTAAAGAAAAAGAAATTATTTCAGCATTGAAAAAAACAGAATTGGGTTTGACATCAATAATGCACTAATGCAACAGTGACATTTGGTTTATTTGCTATAAAAGTTATACAGGAAGCATTATCAAATATAAAATGGTGTTTGGTTTTCTTTGGGCTATATTTGTATAAATATTTTATTGGTATGTGTTCCAAAATATGGGAAACTTCTGTAATTCTGATATGACTTAGTGTATATTATTAATAATTATAATTGTTAAATAAAATCATTGTGTGCCACAGAGGTAACCCAAATTTTCTTGTCAATTGTGGCTTTAATAGTGGCTGTTTTAAAAGATTTTGCTATCCACAGACAATTATTGTCTTGTTTTAATACTCTTTAAAAGGTGGTTTTATAATCAGTCATAGGACTTTGACAGAGGTTCTTAAATGCAAGTTTCTGATACCTTTGGAAATTGTGATATTAGAATAGAAGAAAATACTTTCAGAACTCTCATAGAGGGCTGAAATGTTCATGAATATCAAGTAGAACAGGAGTTAACTAAATTAACTGAAACAATAGAATACTAAAGTAATATTTTGACTTTGCTTAAAATGTTGCTGACCCTTTGTTTTGTTTTTCAGAGTCAAGGAAACTTTTCTTTTGAGCTATTTACAGCTATTTTTGAGCTATTTGTATTTATATGCAAAAGTATACTCCTGAACAAAATTTGGAGCATGTTTGTTTCTCTCTACCTGATTTTTCCAGAATCTGGAAACTATCTGTGAGTATTCTTAATTTATAGCAATATAGTTATTTGCATAAGTGCAATAAGAATCTGTTTTCTTTTGCAACAGGACACACCTGGAGATACTGGTTATTTTACCAAGCTTTGACTGGAATGACATGCTTTCCTTTAAGGAATCAAACTTGACTTATAAAGCCAATAAAAGCCCTTTGGGGAATTGGCCTCATACTTGCCTACAGAGTACCTATATGGGGTTTCTAACCTGTGGTAACAATGTTACTTTCTAACAAGTCCAGGAGTCCCAAGTTATCTTGGGACCTCAAAAGGAGAGAAATTTACCCAATTCACAGGTATTTGAGGGTTCAAACCCATTGCAAGGCTTGGCTCTAAAAAAGTCTTATCTGAGATTCCTTCTATGGAGCAGAGTTCCATCAAAGCCCAATTACAAAAGGCTTATGTGAAAAATAATTATTCTTGCTGCACTTTATACAAAAAATCAGGCCAAGTATAATAAAGCAAATCAGTGTTACTATGATTTGTCTTTAGTTAAAAATGGGAAACTGGAGAGAGAAACTATGTTTCAAGAACTATGGTACACTTGTTATTAAATTCTAGTCTCATCAGTTGTTTTTAAGTTTGTTTTTGCAATTTAGGCTAATCTTGCTTATTCCTGTGAACCAACCAGTGATCTCTAGCTGCTGCTCAGAAGGAACAAGAGGGATGGATAATGTAAAAATCTAGATCAATATTCTAATTCTGGACATACTGGAATCATCTAGCAACCCCATATCGCTTGGTTCCAACAGTTGCTGAGTTCAGGGAAAGGCTTATAATTTAGTTTACTTGATAATTTTACTTATTTTGCTTTACACTCGTGGAATATATTACTATTGTACTCTGTATAGGAATAAGGATAAGCTTACTCAATGTTTTCTTGAATTGAACACTTATTAATCTTCCAAACATCACTTTTTGTCAGAACTTATCATGAATGTCCTTCTCCATACTGATGCTTTCTGAATGAGCTCTTCTCTACCCTGAATACAAGAGATCTCATAATTAGGTAGGAATATCATTGCCCCTATTAAGTCTGAGGAAGTTACAGAAGATAGATCTTTGTCCCTCTGCAACCCTTAGGATTAAGGGTTCTCTTATAGAAGGGAGTGGGGTATGTCAGAGCCATGTGAATGAGAGCAACTCCATCTTAAATAGGAGCTGGGTAAAATGAGGCTGAGGCCCACTGAGCTGCATTTCCAGACGGTTAAAGCATTCGAAGTCATAGAATGAATTAGGAGGTTAGCACAAAGTGCAGGTCATCATGAAGACCTTACTGAAAACAGGTTGCAGTAAAGAAGCTGGCTATAACCCACCAAAACCAAGATGGTAATGAGAGTGACCTCTAGTCATCCTCACTGCTACACTCCCACAAGTGCCATGACAGTTTACAAATGCCATGGCAATGTTAGGAAGTTATCCTATATGGTCTAAAAAGGGTAGGCATGAATAATCCACTCTTTATTTGGCATGTCATCAAGAAATAACCATAAAAATGGTCAACCAGCAGCCCTCAGGGCTGCTCTGTTTATGGAGTAGCCATTCTTTTATTCTTTTACTGTCTTAATAAACTTGCTTTTGCTTTGCACTGTGGGCTTGCCCTGACTTCTTTTTTGAATGAGATCCAAGAGCCTTCTTTTGGGATCTGGATCATACCCCTTTCTTATAACACTTTTGGTCCCAAGCATTTTTGATAAGGAACACTCAAACTGTATTAACTACAATCCTCATGTTGTACCCCTAGACTTGTTCATCCCACATACCTGTAACTTTATATCCCTTCACTTACATCTCCACATTTCCTCCCCAAACTCTTTGTAAAACTGTTTTATCTATGTCTGGGTATTAGACTTCTTTTTTAAAAAGATACCATGTATACATGAGATCATGCAGTATTTTTCTTTCTATCTCTGGCTTATTTTACTTACCACAATGTCCTCTGGATTCATCCATGTTGTAGCAAATGAGAGGATCCCTTTCTTTTTTAAGGTTGAATAATACTCTATTTTATATGTGCCTGTGTTTCTTTATCCATTCACATCAATGGGCACATAGGTTGTTTTCATATCTTGGCTATTGTGAATAATGCTGCAATGAACATGGAAGTATACATGTCTTTATGAGATGCTGATTTCATTTTCTTTGGGTGTATATCCAGAAGTGGGATTACTGGGTCATATGAACAAGTAAAGTTCTACTTTTAATTCTGTTAGGAACCTTCATACTGTTTTCTACAATGGCTGCACCAATCTACCTTCTCTCCAACAGTGTACAAAGATTCCCTTTTCTCCATACCCTTGCCAACACTTGATATCTCTTTTGATAATTGCTGTCCTAAGAGCTGTGAGGTGATAGCTCATTGTGGTATTGATTTGCATTTCCCTGATGGTTAATAATGTTGAGCACCTCTTTCACATACTTCTTGACCATTTTTATGTCTTCTTTGGAGAAATGTCTATTAATACTTTCTCAAAATCACTAACCTAGCTTTCATAATTGATTCTCAGCAGTTGAGCTATGAGAGGTCAGATTATATTAGTTATTCATAATAAGAAACCAATGATGATTCATGACAAGTTTTAAAATTAAGTGTGTGGCAGGATACATATTATTATTTTAAAATTTTTGTTATTTTTTTAGGTTTGCTAGTGATAGCGTGGTATTGTTTAAGAAGGAGGTTCTTGCCTTTCAGAGATTCATGCTGAAATATTTACAGATGATATGATATCAGGGACCTGCTGCAAAATAATTCTAGGTGATGGTGGGCATAAAAAATCCAACCAGAGAGGCCTGAATTGATCATTGAAGTTGGTATATGGGAATTCATTATCCCATTGTCCACCCTTACATATGTTTAAAATTTCCAGTAATAGAAAAAATTTAACGGAGAAATAAACAAAATTAAGGCTATCAGCCAGGATTTAGTTTCATTTAACAGAAATCTGTTTATGCTAAGGAAAACAGATTTAACACAGGGAATTCCATGCCTACAAATTTGTTAAAATTATTGGCAGTGCAGGCTCTAGGCCTCTAGAAATAATTAGCCTAACAACATATTCAACTTACTAGCTAAGTTTAAATGCTATCTGTGCCTCCTTCCAGAAGTCAGGAAATCAGGAAGCCATTAGCTCAAGGCATGCTCCAGAAACACATCACTTGAGCCAAATCTGATGATCAAGAATCACAGCCACAACTGTTGACTACAGGGCCACCTGCTGCTGCAGCACCTGCTAGAATGGTACCAGCAAAATGGATGCCTTGCTCTGGCCACCAGCACTCTTCCACTGGTGGAATCTAAATTATATCTAGAACCCTAGCTGCAAGGGAGTGTGGGAAATATAGTTTTCAACTTTCTCTCCTTTGTAGAACTGGACTAAAAGGCGGTGGGAACAAATATTGAGTGCATGAGTCCACCACAAAGTGTTAGCAATTAGGCTGTCAGTACCGTCCCTAGTATAAGGAAAGCCTTCCCTCTCCCCCAGTCTAATATTACCTGTTTTTAGACACAGTTCAGATCCTATCTCTTTCTTAAATTAAACCTTACTGATCTCATTGGTCTCATTGATTTCTCCACCTTTCTACTTTCTTTTCCTCTTTCCTTCCTTGCTTCCTTCTCTCCTTCATGCATGTATGCACTATGTAGATATGTTTATCTCTGAAATCCTTCTGGACTTATTATTCATTCTGCCATGTAGTTCGGTCTATATCATGCAAATATTTTGAGGTACAGTGTCATTTTAGATGGGTTGGTCTTGCTTGCTTAAATAGGCTCTAAGTGACTTAAGGCCCGATAAGTTTCTTTGTGTATCCTCTCCTCTGATATATAACACCATGCAGTATAAATAGCAAGATTATGTATTTTACATTGGTTCTTTTAATAAAATGTACCAATAAGCATAACAAGAAATTGATGCCTTCCTTAAGTATCTCACAAGATTGTGGTAAGAATCAGAAATATTCTGTGCTAAATTGTCATTTGTAACCTATTATAAATGTTGACAGATAGTAATTATGGTTGTGTTAACACCAAGACCTTCATATGATGACCCTAGTCATCCTTTTAATTAATCATATAGGCTGATGATTATTTCTCTCTTTCAGTGAAACTATAGATCTTTGTTTCTTGAACTCAATCTGCACTTCCCACCTCTGTTCCATTGACCATGTTTTCCCTCCGCTGAAAAGTCTCATCTCAGGCCCCATTTCCATCTGTCAGTCTCTCCACTAAGCAGTCTGAATGTACAGCAATAACTGGTTAGATGTCAATTTCTGGCAGAGTTAACCAAGCATCAACAGTAATGGTGTAGACCTGTGCTTACTGACATAACTCAAGATAGGAAATAATATCTTGTTAAGTGAAAAAAATATTTTAAAAACTCAATGTTAGGTATAATTTCCATTTTTTGTAAATATGTATCTATCTATATATATATATTTATTTGTGCTCATTCTTTCATTTAACAGATATTTATTGAGTGTCTACTGTGTGCCAGGCACTATATCTATGTGCACAGAAAAACCGTGGAAGGCCATACAGCGATACATATACAGTGATCCTCTCTGCTTGCTGAGATAACAGGTGAACTTTTCCTTGTTGCTCGTTTTATTCCATTTGAAAAATTGTATTTTCTAGCTTTTCAAGCAAACTATATTAGTTAATTAATTCGTTCATTTATTCATTTTTTAAATAAGTAAATTAGCATTTATTAATAAAGAACAAATCTTTTTAAAAAGAACCACTTCTGTTCTTCAAAATGCTTACAATATAATATTCAATGAAAAAAAGCAGGTTAAAAACAATCTAAAATCACCAATGCTAAATTTAAAAAAGAGAAGGAAGAGGAGCTAGAGAAAAGAAGAGAGAAGGGAAATGGAAGAAAAAAGGAAGGAAAAGCTTAACAGGAGCCCATTTGCGAGTGGCAGAATTTCTTTTACAATATCTGTTCTAAAGATTCTACAGTGAGTATGTGTTAGTTTTACTTATTTTTTGAGACAGTGTCTCACTCTGTTGCCCAGGCTGGAGCACAGTGGCATGATCACACCTCAGTGGAGCCTTGACTTCCCCAGGCTTAGGTGATTCTTCTACCACAGCCTCCCAAGTAGCTGGGACCACAGGCACACACTACACACCCAGCTAATTTTTTTTCTTTTTTTCTTTTTTATAGAGATGAGATTTGCCATGTTGTGTCATATTCTTGGGCTTAAGTGATCCGCCTGGATGTCCCAAAGCGTTGGGATTACAAATGTGGGCCACCATGCCCAGCCATTGTATTACTTTTAGTATTAGGAAAAAAAATTTTTCAAGGTCCAATCCAAATGTGACTTTTCTCTGAAGCTGCTGGAGATCCCTGCATTTAACATTTTTCAACCCTTTTCTTTTTTTTGTTTTTTTTTTAAATTGCATTTTAGGTTTTGGGGTACATGTGAAGAACATGCAAGATTGTTGCATAGGTACACACATGGCAGTGTGATTTGCTGCCTTCCTCCCCATTACCTATATCGGGCATTTCTCCCCATGCTATCTCTCCCCACCTCCCCACCCCTCGCTGTCCCTCCCCTATTTCCTCCCAACAGACCCCAGTGTGTGATGCTCCCCTCCCTGTGTCCATGTGTTCTCATTGTTCAACACCCACCTATGAGTGAGAACATGCGGTGTTTGATTTTCTGTTCTTGTCAGTTTGCTGAGAATGATGGTTTCCAGGTTCTTCCATGTCCCTACAAAGGACACAAACTCATCGTTTTTTATGACTGCATAGTATTCCATGGTGCATAAGTGCCACATTTTCCCTGTCTGGTCTATCATCGATGGGCATTTGGGTTGGTTCCAGGTCTTTGCTATTGCAAACTGTGCTGCAATGAACATTCATGTGCATGTATCTTTATAGTAGAATGATTTATAATCCTTTGGATATATACCCAATAATGGGATTGCTGGGTCAAATGGAATTTCTATTTCTAGACACTTGAGGAATCGCCACACTGTCTTCCACAATGGTTGAACTAATTTACACTCCCACCAACAGTGTAAAAGTGTTCCTATTTCTCCACATCCTCTCTAGCATCTGTTGTCTCCAGATTTTTTAATGATTGCCATTCTAACTGGTGTGAGATGGTATCTCAATGTAGTTTTGATTTGCATTTTTCTAATGACCAGTGATGATGAGCATTTTTTCATGTGTTTGTTGGCCTCATATATGTCTTCTTTTGTAAATTCAAACTTTTTCAATCCCTTCATCACTTAGTACTCAATAAATATATGATAAATTGAATTGATACTATTTTTTCAAGTGTAGCCTTGGCGATAGGTGCCATTAATTTTGTTAATTTTTCCTTTCAATTTCCATTTTGATTTTCAAGAACAAGTTAGGTTTCAGAGACATTGTTTAATAATAATAAAAATGTATTCTTTGTGATTAATTTGTAATGATATTTGCATAATAGTGACCTAATTTTAGTGGCCAAGATTTCATCTACTGTTTTTATTCTTCTGACTTTTCTATTTTTTACTAGTTTTACATGTGTGTGTGTGATATGCATACACACACTCACACATATATACAGACATATGTATTTTTAATATGAAAATTTAAACAGTAGACTTGAGTTCTATTATTAGTCAATCCTTTCTCACCACAGAAAATTTTTGTCTGCTGCCCTATTTCCTTCCATTTTACAGAGAAAAGTCATCTTAACCCAGATTGGAAATGCCATTCACTGAATTAACTTTCTATCAGCCCTGTAATATCACTTTAGTAGCCTGTGATGTAGTCACACAAGAGGGAGTCAGTGTGGCAAGACTTTTAGAAATTACCCAGTCTAGCCCATTTGGACAGCTTTCATCAAAGAGGGCCAAGGGATAAGAGTGGGGCTTAAACATTTTAATTCATTTCAGCTTTTGCAAAATAAAGCAGATGGTAAAACATCACCACTGCATGAAGGTACTAAAAACAATCAGAGATGAGCCAGTCTCTAGCACCACTACTGTGGTTAGAGGAATCAGCCTCAGACCAGGAGTCATAGGGCTCAAATCTCCCTGCCTGGCTCTCCTCCTTCTTGAGGAGGTGCCCTACCCTGAAGAAAAGACGAGGTTCCTAGAACCTGAAATGTTAGAAACATGTGTATGTTGCGGCACATTAGAGGATCCTGAAACCAGGGCAGTTTTATTCTAGATAGGAGACTGTGTGAATGAAAAGAATAATGTGTGGCCTGGCTATGGAAAGAGGAAAAAAGAAGGATCCCTGGAAAAGTTATTATTCTAGGGTACTTTCTGTAGGTCTTCAAAATAATAGAAATTAGTAAGATGCTTCTTGAGATACTACTTAGTTGGGCACATTGGGGTTTGACCCTTAACTAGGCTACAGCCTTCTTATGGAATTTAGGATCAGACAAAACACAAAACATTGTCCAAGGGGATTGGCTGATGACATTAAAAAAACAAACAAACAAAAAAACCCAGCTCATTGACATTCTACTTCATGCCATGGTCCCCATCACTTTGCTGAGAGTATCACAGTGAGGATCCCCATGCACTATAGGCCTTGCTTTTGAAGTTGCATTTGCCTCTATGGCCATTGCTTTTTAGATGAGACTGGGCACGTTCAGGGTGATATGGCTGTAGACAAGCAATCTGCCTTTTAATTTGTGAGGCTGCTGTGCTCCCAAAACTTTTTTCCTCCCTGCTTACTATGTGTGATCCCTCAGAAATTTAAACCACAGTCATCCATATGGGAGAAAATGTGAACTCTGGAAGTTTTTCATTTCTGATGAGTTATAGTAGCAGTTGGATTAAACCAAATCCTTTGAGTATGAGTTTTTAATTCCCTAATTCCCTGACATAAAGTGATTTCATTGAAGAGATTGGTTTAATCTCTTGCAGTTGATGGATAAACTACGTGCAAAATTTCAAAACACAAATTTGTTGTTTGCTGGTTGACTACCAGGTTGGGTACTTGATCCCTGGTGATGCCATTTATTGAGGATTTGCATTTTTTTTTAAGCTGGGATTGCTAAACTGAAGGTGCTTTTGTGTCTGTGCAGTCTGTACTCAGCTATATGTGTGCTCTGTGATCTGACATATTAAAATAACTGAATTGTTTTTATTTTAAAAACACTGCTTCAGGCCAGGCTCAGTGGCTCATGCCTGTAATCCCAACACTTTGGGAGGCTGACCGAGGTGGGAGGATCACCTGAGATCGGGAGTTTGAGACCAGCCTGCCCATGCAGAAACCCGAGTGTGGTGGAGCATGCCTGTAATCCCAGCTACTTGGGAGGTTGAGGCAGGAGAATCGCTTGAACCTGGGAGGTGGAGGTTGCAGTGAGCTGAGATCGCGCCACTGCACTCCAGCCTGGGCAACAAGAGAAAAACGATGTCTTAAAAAAAATCACTGCTTCATAAAAGGGAATCTGTTACCTACAGCTAACATGATATTCCTATAAATATGATCACTAAGATTATGAGACATGGTTCACTGTATAGTTAAAAATAGAGGGAAATTTATAAAAGGCATAAAATTTAGATACACCTACATAACTTGGTAGACAAAGATTGCTTTAATGCCTCTAGTAGCAACATGTAAAAGTTGTATAGTTAGTATATTAACTACTTATTTACTGTGGTAATTTATTTTTAATCAGTAGCATTTTCATATGTTTATTTTTTTATTTTGCTATATTTTAGGGGTGTCAAGCTTCCATTTTTGCTATCTACTTCTAAATACACTCAGAAAAGGAGAAATTTGGACTAATTTTCGAACTACAGATACTTTCTAATCATGATGCATTTCAAAAGTGGACTCGAATTAACTGAGTTGCAAAACATGACAGTGCCTGAGGATGATAACATTAGCAATGATTCTAATGATTTCACCGAAGTAGAAAATGGTCAAATAAACAGGTGAGTACTTTTCCACTCACAGTTCCTGTCCAGTGACAGAATTGGTTTGTGGCTCACTCCTCTAATCCCAGCACTTTGGGAGGCCAAGGCAGGCAGATCACTCAACATCAGGAGTTCAAGACCAGCTTGGCCAACATGTTGAAACCCCCTCTCTACTAAAAATACAAAAAAAAAAAAAAAAAAAAAAAAATTAGCCAGTGGTGGCTCATGCCTGTAGTCTCAGCTACTCAGGAGGCTGAGGCAGGAGAATGCTTGAACCCAGGAGGCAGAGGTTGCAGTGAGCCAAGATTGTGCCATTGCACTCCAGCCTGGGCAACAGAGCAAAACTCTGTCTAAAAAAAAAAAAAAAAAAAAGAAAGAAAGAAAGAAAAAGAAATGGCTCTAAAAATTATTCTGGTTTTTAGTTATTCTGTTGAATTATTCATTACTAAAGTTATGTTCCATTTGAAGATACAATTTGAATTTCTTATGTGTCATCTGTTGGGTATAGTCTGCAATAGCAGATTAAGCAAATAGGAAAGTAATTTATTCATCTTTTAAAATCTTTCAATTGAGACTAATAAAAATGTATGAATACATTTAACCCCAACCAAGCTCTGTGTTATGAATTAAACAGAGTATTGGATTTTCACTGCATGCCATATCCAAATGTGTACTATAGTCATCTGTTCATATTTTAATCAAGAAATGGTCAACGTTGCATTTTACAATGAGTCTGTGTTAAAATTACAGGTGTGTCATCCTTATAAGCATCATTTGTAGTATGGATTGTAAATAATAATAATGGTTGAGCCCAAATGACTCTATGAGGAACTATAATAGAGACAGTACATAAAAGAAAAAGAGAAGGAGAAAGAGAACACTACTAAGGGGAGAAGCAATGGGGAAGAAGTAGAGGGTCAGGGTAGGAAGAGTGCTGGTCCAAAAGCTCTGGCCACTAGCTGTGACCTCAGGCAAGTCCTTCCAACCCTTAGGTCTTTCTTGCTTATGTTGCAAGAATAGAACCAAATGTCTTTTTACAAAATTGATTTAGGACATTCTTAGACTCACTGATTGTCTAGCTGGCTTGGCAGGAAACCCTCCAGCTTGGGAGTTAGTGGCACAGCCTCCTAAAAGATTAGGAGAAGAGAGTGGTATGCAGGACTATTAGAACACCTACAATGTTACACTTTGGGAGAGTCAAAGGAAATTGCAATGGGGAAGGATAAGAACATTATGCCAACTAACCAGGCATCTTGGTAGAAATCATTTCTGATGGTCTACATTCTGATAATGTGTGTGATTAAAAGCCCAGCATAGCATTTAGCGGCCATCATTTATTAATACATATGTTCAGAAGTTCCAGTCCTGTCTTTCCTTTCTTCCTCCTTTAAATGTTCTTAGAGGTTAAGTCCCCAACTCAGACACTTTTCCTCATTATTATCCAACTATGGTCAACTGTGATGTGTCTTACTATGGGACTCAAGGGTACTTACTTCTTTCACAATTTTTTGAGTAATTATGAATAATAATTACCATTTGTTGAGTGCCAGGTATTTTACATATGTTACCACATATCCTTATAACCAGCATGCAAAGCAGATATTTTGCAAATGAGAAAAATGTAAAATTTCTGTTTACAAATAAGGAAACTAAGGTTCAGAGAAAGAAAATAACTTACCCAAGGGTACACACAGGTCTGTCTAAAATTTATGTATATCTACTTTACCCTCCTCCATCTGATTATAATGCTTGTGCATTGGTAAAAAATTAGTCTTTAATAGTTCTATTAAATGCTACCAGGGCCATTTTATGTGCTGTACTCCTAGAAGGTTCAGTAGTCCCTGCTGACCTCCACTGAACAGTGTAAGAAATTCTCACCATTTCACAAGTAGGACATTGTGGTTTTATAAAATTATCAAAGCAATCCATTATCAAAGCATTCCAAACTTCAAGGGCCTTAAAGGTAGGAATCATTTATAATAGTCAGTTTAGAATCTGAACTTGATTTTTAAAAGTGTTACTTACTAAAAATGTCTAGTTTTTAAGATGATTACCACTTGTAGTGGATGGAGAGAGATCCATTCTCACCCATGACTTAGGCACTTGCCTGGATGAGCTCATTTCCCTGTAGGCTCTGACCAGGGCAAGCGTTGGTACAGACAGAGGTCTGTTGGGTTTTGGTTCCTCTATTGCAAATGTAGTATGATGAGTTTATTTTTTTCTTTATTTCCCCTCTTTCTCTGACTGAGTTCATGACTGTTGTTTCATTTCTGGCTCTAAGACAATTAAAAATAAATGTTGCAGCATGAAGCTAATAAAGAAAAAGACCCTTGCCAATTTTACTGAAGGTCCCTATTGGGTGGTCTGGCTTACTGTATTGGCATATTTTAGTAGTCCATGATTCCTGTAAAAACTACACCTAAATACCCCTTATTCTCCCTGCAACTTTCTCAAACTTGTGAGAGGTCCAATTATATGAATCTAAGAAAATCACTTCTCCCCAAACAGTGAATTTTTAGGCAACAGTGCTTCTTTTTAGGAAGCTAGAGAAAATGTTGAAAACAAACATCGATGTTGTGTTACCTGGCATCTAGCTGATAGCTCTGCCTGGAAACTCCACAATTGGATACAATAAAAATTATTTTAAAATGTCCATTAGACCAGTGCTGCCGACGTTTTAATGTGTGTATGAAACACTTGGAAACCTTGTTAAAATGCAGATTCTGATTCAGTTAGTATGGGGTCGAGCCTGTGATTCTGATTTCTAGCAAATTCCCAGGTGACGCCGATAACTGCTGGTCCATGGACCAAACTTTGAATAGAAAGCTCTAGACTTTTCCTATAAATGTGAACTTCTTGAGAGAAAGGACTGTCTGAATCATCTTTATATTCCTTCTGCCTATGCTAGTGTCTAGGCAGGGTGAACTGCCTATCCTAGGGTCTAGGTAATCTCTACAGAGTGGACATTACAAATTATATGTTGACTCAGAGAGAGAGAGAGAAAGAGAGAGAGAGAGAGAGAGTAGTTAAGTACATGGCTTCGGATTTAGACTTGTATTGAATCCTGGCTCTATCAGAGATCTTATGTGATCTTGTTTTCTGAGCCTCAATCTCATCCCTTTAAGATAGGGATAACAATAATAATAATAATAATAATAATAATAATAATAATAATAATACCTTATCTCATGGGATTGTTGGGGAATATTTAATACAATATTATCCGTAGGTTAAGAACGCAGGCTCTGCACTTAGCCTGCTTATGTTCAAACCCTGCCACAACAGTTAGTCCATTTATGCCTAGTGTTCCATTATTAGAACAGTAAGCTTGTGGGAGTTATTTATATCCTATTGCTCAAGGCCATCGCCAAAGTCTGATACTTCACACCAAAAAATTTGCAACCTCTGGCATAAATGGCATAATAGTAATGAAACTTTGGACAAGTTACTTAAGTTCCCCAAACTGGGCTAAAAATAATACCAACCACATGTAATTATTTGTGAATATAAATGAGAAAACCCATGTAAAGTACTTGGCACAGTGTCTGGCAATAGTAAGCCTCTTAGTATGAGAAAGGTCTATCAGTAAAAATGCAGTCCTCTTTCTTTGGCAAGCACTTCTTTCTTCTCCACCTCAAGAAGCAGTAATATTGCTCTAAGTTTTGGATGATTGCTGATTATTGTCACCTTAAATTTGCTGAAACATTAGTAGATTATGCTAGGTGTACCCAGACAAATATGCATATATTTTAATATTTATCTGTTATTGTTATTTTTGTATGGTTATTGCTATTATGACCTAGGAACTATTTAACAAAATTTGAGATTATTTTATTAAGATTTGTTTTTAAAAGAATTTGAGGCAACTATTGTCACTACACCCTGAATCCACTTGTCTTTCTATATCTTTTGGAGTTTGTGGGCTAAATTTTTATCACTTGAGAGGACCCTTGAGAACTTATCCCTCTTCTTCTTCTATGTTTTCTATACCTTAGGGAAGAAGGTTTCATAACTTCTTCCTATATTCAATTTTCATGTCAGAAAATTCTTCTCTCGCTTTCATTTCTCCTGTTACAATTAAAGTCTTTTTTTTCCCCATATTTTCAGTGGAATTTGTCCACCAGTAAGGCTTTGCTTACCTCTCAGTCTTCTCTTTAGATTCCTGTTTCTTCAATTTTCCCTTTTCATGTTCTCCAATCTCTTTGTTCTCTTTCTTTCTTTCTTTTTTTTTTCTCCTATCTAATAGAATGTTAGCGTTTCAGGGAAAGGAATAGGAAAGGTCATTTAGGTTCAACCACTCATCTCTTTTATGTTATGAATCCTCAGATGAAACAGTATAATCTAGTAAGAACTGATTGATAGAGATTAAAACAGGAAGATTATCTTTCTGTTGTACAACTTATCCTTAATTAGATTGTTGCTGTTGATTTGTTTCTGGTTTTAAATAACAGCTTTCTGTTGCTTTCCTTTCTTCACCTCAGTATAACAGCTTACATCATTTTTTAAGGCTTTGTTCAGGGTCACTCAATCACTCATTGTAGGGTTTGTTTGTTTTGTTTTGTTCACAGAGCAATTGGCTATCTAACGGTTAATAAAATTCTGTTTTATGGGTACAGACTCACTCAGTGAGAACTCTTTTTTAATAATACCTTTATCATTCTGAGACCACATGTCAAAGGCACCTTCTTCCATAGCATATTTTAAGTCAATAAAGAGAAATACTACATCAATTTTATTGCCAGACATCATGCTTTTTAACAAGCAAGTGCATCTTTTAAATGGTGAGATAACAGAAACTTGTGATAAGCTCCTTAACCTAGTTATTTTGAATGGAATTTTCTATTACAAAAGGTTGGTTTTATATATTTTTAAATGTATAGAAATGCAAAGCAAAGATTTAAAGACTTAAAGAGAAGAAAAAGGTGAAACACCATAAAGAGATTAGGGAGGCTTTAAGTACTTCATTCTTATTGAGCTAAATTTCCCTGCAGCTTAAGCGACTCCCTAATTTCTAAATTTCCCTGCAGCTTAAGCGACTCCCTAATTTCTAAACAGAAGATGTATATTCAGTTGGTGGAGAGCTCCTCTGAGTTGCTAATATGTGGGTAGGTACACATTAGAAGGAGCTGAGAGGCAGCACTGGACAACCACAATGCAAGATGAGTTCAGTGTTGATAGCGTACAGTACAGATAAAGAAATAAGTAGGTCAGAGTCTAAAAACTCCAAACCAGAGTGTGGAAGACTTGTGGATGATGAGGGTTTTGAACTGATAGGAAAAGATTGGCTGAGAGAAAGAAAGAGGACCTCCTCAAGGGAAAGTGAATTCCTATTGCCATCTTGCTTTTTATTCTCTGCTCTCAGAATGCACTGGTCTTATCTCAGCCCTCAACTCCTCTCAGGAGGAGCAGGGGAGCTAAGATTGGAACACTGAGGCAAAATAAAATTAAGCAGTACTTGGAATTGCAGGGTGAGGAATTTGTGCTTGAAGTTTATTCAGTGGGGGAGCCAGTGGAGATTTTTGGGAAAAACCTATTAAGTCTTGTTGCAGAAAATGGACTGAAAGAGAGAATCAAGGAGGCACTCTACAAATAATGTGTTTTAATGTGCTCTTTAATGGTTATTCATTGAAATAGCTCTGTCAGTTAATATCATTATTCTCATTCTGCAGAAGTTCTGCAGGAAACAGCTGGCAGTCATACAGGGACTTTATCTGCTTCAACCACACAATGTTTGACCTGACTGAATGTACCCTCATGTCACAGTGCCTGTATCTCTTTCTTCTCTGCTTACCTATACTTTGCCACCAACCCCGGGGAGTATTACCAGGCCTGGAATTTAGATCTGCCATAACAGGCAGTTTATTGGTGGCTTGTTTGGTTTGTTTGAAAATGTTCACACTTTTCTATTAATTTAAATATAATAGAAATTCTCTCTGTAAAACAAGTCTTTCCACCAGAAAGGCAAAGGGAGACTGCTGGATAGACTTGGTAAAATTGAGTTGGTTATTAAAATTAGCCAGATTAGGTCAAGCACAGTGACTCATACCTGTAATCCCAGTACTTTGGGAGGTGAGGTCAAAAGAATCACTTGAGCCCAGGAGTTCGAGACCAGCCTGGGCAACACAGCAAGACTCCATCCCTACACAATAAAAAAAAAAAAAAAATTAGCTAGGTGTGGTGATGTGTGCCTGTTGTCCCAGCTACTTGGGAGGCTGAGGCAGGAAGACTGCTTGAGTCTAGAAGCTCCAGGTTACAGTGAGCTATGATTGTGTCGCTGCACTCCAGCTTGGGCAACAAAGCAAGAATTTGTCTCTAAAATAATAATAATAATAAAAATAAAATTAGCCTGATTAAATACAATTGGCTGTCCATATCCTTGGGTTCTGCATCTGCAGATTCAACTGAGGATTAAAAATATTTGGAAAAACAAACACAAATTGACAATACAACATTTAAAAAATGCAAATTTAAAAACATGGTATAACAACTATTTACATAGCACTTGTATTCGGTATTATAAGTAGTCTAGAGAGGACTTAAAGTATACAGGATGATATGCATAGATTATATGCAAATTCTATAGCTATCTTATGTTAGAGAATGAGCATCCTTGGATTTTAGTATCTGCAGAAGAGTGAGGGGTAGCCTAGAACCAATCCCCTACAAATACCAAGGACACCGTACAGTCTTTTGACAACAACGCTTAAATATTTTCAGTCAATTTCATTTTGGAAAGTCCAGTGCCCACTTTTCTTAGGGCTGTCTGTATGAAAGGGAAGGCTGCTTTCCCCTGCCATTCTGCAGCCAGGTCTGTAAACCTTAATTCTGTGGAGAGATTCTAAACATTAAAGACAGAAGAAAAGCCAAACTAGTTGTTAGCAGCAATGCTATATACAACCACCAGAGTTTGCCTGCAAAGATACTGCTTTTATTATGTCAGTCTCTTGCTAAGAACATTCTATACTATTTCTCAGGCTTCTGTCTTTTAGTGTTCTCTGGCTAATCCCAGTTAATGCTGGTTTTTTCCTTCTCTGGACTCTTCACCTCATCTTAATCTGCACATCCCGATGTTCCTATACTGGTGTTAGCTGGTATGGTCTCTCCTTAGCCACAATGTCCGCTCCTATGTTTCAGGAGACCAACATTTTTCTTCCACATCCTTTTGATCCCTAGTAGGTCCTAACCAAAAGCAGCGTCCACAGATTGTAAAGCTTATACCAAGTGATACTCCCAGAGTAAGTCTGTAGTAAGTATATTGCATAACTTTAGTATATGCCAATGAAATAATACAAATTTGGAGAAATAATGCCTAAAAGAACCAGATCCCTTGGATTAAAGTTGAAAAACATAGATGAATTAAAATGAACATCAATGATACATGTTTCATTTAAAAGTATTTTCCTATGAAATATAGCATCATTGAAAAAAGTGTTTGAGGCCGGGCACAGTGGCTCATGCCTGTAATCCCAACAGTTTAGGAGGCCAGGAGTTCAAGACCAGCCTGGCTGACATAGCAAAACAACATCTCTAATAAAAATATAAAAATTAGCTGGGCATGTTGGTGCATAGCTGTAATCTCAGCTACTTGGGAGGCTGAGGCACTAGAATCACTGAGCCAGGGAAGTGGAGATTGTACTACTGCACTCCCACCTGGGTGACTAAGACTTTGTCTCAAAAAGAAAAAAAAAAAGTATACGAAAATGTAATATACAGCTTAAATAGGCATGCTTCATTAAACTAGTCCAGTTCAAGTGGTTTTACATTTATTAATGAAAAATTCACTGTCATTAGTTGTAACCATGATCAGGTAATTGAATTTCCAGACCTAGAAGAGTCACAAAGCATCCCTAACATATCTTACTAATGCATGCAGCAGTTTGCCTATGCATGGACTTTTAATTTAATTTTATATTTTTATAGATTTAGTAGGTACAGGTGCAGTTGTGTTACACAAATATATTATGTAGTGGTAAAGTTTGGGCTTTTAAAATAGTAAACATTGTACCTAGTGGGTAGTATTTCATCCCCTGCTCCCTCCCACCTTCTCACCTTTTGTAGTCTCCAGTGTCTACTTTTCACTCTCTGCATCCAAATGGACCCATTGTTTAGCTCCCACTTATAATTAAGAAGATTCAGGTTTTGACTTTCTGTTTCTGAATCATTTCATATAAGCCATCAGCTCTATCTGTGTTGCTCCAAAAGACATGATTTTATTGCTTTTTATGGTGAAATAGTATTCTGTGGTATCTATCTACACTATATTTTCTTTAGCCAGTCATCTGTTGATGGACACTTAGGTTGATTCCATGACTTTGCTAAAGTGAATAGTACTGCGATAAATATATGAATGCAGGTATCTTTTTGATATAATAGTTTCCTTTCCTTTGGGTAGATACCCAGTAGTAGGATTGCTATATGGAATGGTAGATCTATTTTTAGTTCTTTGAGTAATCTCCATGCTGTTTTCCATAGAGATTGTATTTATTTAAGTCCCTACTAATGGTGAGTAAGCATTCCTTTTTTTCCACATCCTTGCCAACATCTGTTGTTGGATTTCCTTTGACAAAATCATTTGTTTTCTAATCACAAATTTTTAAAATTAAATATTTAGGCTATAAAGTTTTGATATTGACCCTGAATGTATGTGGTGGTTCTTAAAGCATTTTAAATTCTTACTTCTATATGTTTGTACATCATTGACTCCATGTAGCCTGTGTCAGTTGCTCCCATCTCAAGTCCCATTTCCCTGATGGAGAGGAATATCTAACATCTATTGCTGTTACTCTGTGCCAGGTGCTGATGTTTAACATGTGCTCTCTCATTTAATTCTCCCAGTAACTTGGTAAGATAATTTAATAGTGTTAACTTCTGTTTCCCAGATGAGGAAACTAAGTTGGCACACTAAGGCCCTCCAAGATAGTTAGGGTTTGAACTCAAGTTCTAAGCCCCTTGCTTTCCTAAAGTCCTGGCTCTGACCCTAACCATGGACCATATTCCCCTCTCCCCACCATAATTTCCTAGTCGGAACTCCCATAACCTCCTACTTGCATCATTTATTACATACCCCTAGATTTCCCCAGTGCCTGTTCCAGTGACTTGAATATAGCAGATGCTGAAGGAATATTTGATGGTAAAACAGTTGTTTTCTTTTCTGCAAGGGAGAGGGAATTACTGTTTAATAATTTTGTAGTCCAAGAACCTGAGCTCAAAAGAAAACCTGCCTCTAGTATCCTTTTAAATACCAGGTTTATAGTAGTCTTGATATTATCTAATTTTCTACTTAGAGGAAAAACTATACAAAAATTAATTTCTGTTATATATAGTATTTAAATTTATTATAAAATGATTCAAAATGCATAGCCATTTTTGGCTTATGGTTGTTTTTTGTTTCATCTCAAGATGAACACAGATTATTGGCATTGTTTTGTACTAGGTAGAATGAAGGATATAAAAATGAATGAGGCAAGGTGCCTGCCCTTGGGGCACTTAAAGTTTATTTGGTAAAACGAGAATGTGGACATCTCATACTGGCAAAAAAAAAAAAAAAGAGGCTGGGGCAGTTGGTTGAATAGGGCTGTAAACTCTTAGAGAGCTGACTGGTAACTGTTTGTGTATGTTTTGGTGAGTAATAAATCATTTAGTCAAGATGTCAAGCTTCAAATTGTTATCATAAGGTTAAACATGTTATGCATATCTTTACAGCAAGTTTATTTCTGATCGTGAAAGTAGAAGAAGTCTCACAAACAGCCATTTGGAAAAAAAGAAATGTGATGAATATGTAAGTATCATTATAATGAAGTGTTTTTTTAAATCATATAAATTGGGACGGATCTTTTTAATTCAAGTAGCATAATAACAAAAGAAGCATAATTACCTGTATTCACCAAGATATTCCTCATACCTAATGTATTTTCTCTTGAAACCCATTAAAGGAAATAACTAGATTACTAAGAAAGGATTTTCTTGAATTTTATTTCCATATTGATTCCTGAGAGTGCATTAAAGGCTTTGGCTTGATGAACTTTCTTGGGGATTATTTTCCTTAGTGTCAATGTTTGTTTCTTTATTCAGATTCCAGGTACAACCTCCTTAGGCATGTCTGTTTTTAACCTAAGCAACGCCATTATGGGCAGTGGGATTTTGGGACTTGCCTTTGCCCTGGCAAACACTGGAATCCTACTTTTTCTGTGAGTATTAATGTGCCAGTACTTTCCATTTTAAAACTAAACTTTTTGTATGTTTCTGTTATTACATAGAAGAAATGTGAAATATTTATAAATAGTTTTATTTCTTTTTTTTATTAACTTGGCTAAGTTACCAGTACATACTTTGATATTTATTGCTTGAGTGATTTTCCAAAATGTACCTAATGCTTACAACAAAGAAGAAGGAGAAAATCTTTTTATTAATCAAAAATACTGGAATAAGCATTTGTATAAAAGATTAAAACATTTGAAAATAACTTTTAAAAATATTTTTGGAGTCTACCTGTTACTTTATCTCAAACTGTTGAGATAAAGTTATTTAAAAAGAAATTTACATGGGACTTTCTGAAATGTATAGAGAGCTTATTTTTAGTTGGAACAAGATTAAGACAGATGATAGAATTCGTGCTAAGAAAATTCTCACCCAGCCTGATTCCCTCTCAAGCGTCACATGAGTGTCAGTGGTGAGGTGAGGGAGAAAGTACTTCTCCCAGGATCTTGCCTTTTCTTCTGACTCGAAACTCATGCTCTTCAATGGCCAGGCTAGATAGTCCTTGTTACCATGTCCTTTTGACAGGAGCATCATTTTCTTAGAAGCAGTGACCAAAATGGTTACTAATCCTACAAACTGTGGATATGCTTTCAAAAACGCAGAAGAATATTACTTCCCATCCCATTATTCCAGGAACAGAAATGCCCATCCATGCTGCCCTGCGTTAGGCATGAATATTCTTTCGTGTGTAAACTAATATGTCCTTTCCAAAATTAAAAGACTGTGTAAGATGGTGAATTTGATACATTGTCTTCCATATTGTCAGTCTAATTCAGAGAACCTAACTCTAGCCTCCTCTGTCATCCTGAATGCATCTTTCTAAGTTGCCTTTGCTGCTTGAGCTGAGTGCCAGGTTTTAGGATAATACGGCAGAATTGCATAATATATTTCTATGGTGATTTTTTTTTTTTTTTTGTATATGTGAAATTCTGACTCTCTGAGGACAGTAGATAGCTTGAAGAGCTATGCTTCTGGTTTTCAGTGTATTTACATAACACACCTGAGTGCTAGTCCCAACTCCTAAATGGCTATGTAGTTTTTTATTTAAATTGCATTTTAGGTTTTGGGGTATGTGTGAAGAACATGCAATATTGTTGCATAGATACACACATGGCAGTCTGATTTGCTGCCTTCCTCCCCATCACCTATATCTGGCATTTCTCCCCATGCGAGTAGTTTTAAGCAAGTTTCTTAGCCACTCCGAGCTTCAGTTTCTTCCTCTTCAAAACAAGGAAATTGTGCAAGAAAAATTTTAGAATCAGGCCAACCTCCAAAACACTATGATTCTGTGACTATTTTCTATCATTCCAAAGCTGGGAATATGTTCAATTCAGAATGTGTATTACATTGATTTTTTTAGTTATTATAATATATCAACTTAAAAGTTAACCTAGAGTAAGAAGTCACTTCTTTGATGATTGTAACAACAGTAACAATCATCAGTAACTCTCATAGCTCTCACTTTGTGCTAAGCACTACTTCAAGTGTTTTATGCAGAATACTTAACAATAATTCTATGAAGTAGCTGCTATTATTAATTTCCTGTTTCACAGAAGGAAACTGAGGCATAGAGGGTAACTTTAATTTGGTAATCTCTCTTGATCATCCTTCTGGGGATTTCCTTTACCTCTCTTTTTTTGCTAGATCCATTGTTTCCTATATTCCATTTATTCCTTTCTGAATTTACTTATTGCTGTTATTGCTTAGAAAAGGTGACTGAAAATAAAACTTTTGAGACCTTTATGTCAGAAAAATATTTTTATTCTACTTCTACCTTTGATTTATAGTTTAGCTGGATATAGAACTTTATACTAGAAATAATTTTCCTTCAGAATTTTGAAGGTATTGCTCTATTTCCTTCTAGCTTTTTTCTATTGTGAAGTCCTATATGCTTCTGATTCCTATCTTTTATGTATAGCCAGGTTTTGTTAGTTTTTTTTTTTTTTCCCTGGGAACTTGTCAATTCTCTTAGTTTCCAATATCCTGCAGTTTCACAATAATGTGCCTTGATGTGGGCCTGTTTTCATCACTTGTGTCAGGCACTGGCTGCATTCTTTTCTTTTAGAAATCCATGGCCTTGGCCAGGTATGGTGACTCACAACTGTAATCCCAACACTTTGAGGGGCAGGTGGATCACCTGAGTTCAGGAGTTTAAGACCAGCCTGGCAAGCCTGGCTAATGTGGTGAAACGCTGTCTCCACTAAAAATACAAAAAATTAGCCAGGCATGGTGGCATGTGCCTGTAATCCCAGATACTCTGGAGGCTGAGGCAGGAGAATCACTTGAACCTGGGAGGTGGAGGTTGCAGAGAGCTGAGATTGCGCCCCTGCACTTCAGCCTAAGCAACAAGAGGGAAACCAAAAGAAAAAAAAGAGAAAGAAATCCGGGGCCTTCAGTTTGGGGAATTCTTTTGATATTATTGCGTTGATGGATTCCTCCCTACTGTTGTTCTTTGCTGTCTCTGGAACTACTACCCCAGATTTTGGACCTTCTGTACTGGTCCTCTAGTTTTTTAATCTTTCCTTTATTTTCATTTCTATAATGTTTCACTGTAATTGTTGGGATATGTCCTCAATTTTCCCCCTCTTTATTGAATGTTTTTTATCAGTTACTATTTTTTATTTATAGGAGCCTGAAAACTCTAAGAATGTTCCTTTTTAATATTATTTTGGTTCTGTTTTATAGTTTCATTGTCTTCTCTGAGGATTCTAATGATAGTTTTTTCTCTGTTATGAAAAATTTCAACATAAAGTAGAGAGAATAGTAGAAAAAGATTTCTATGTTTCCTTCCTTTATGGATGGTTGCTTTAGTCAGTTCCCACCAAAGTTGTCTTGAAGCAAATCTCAACTGTTTTATTATTTCAGCCCTAAATATTTTAGTATATACCTATAAAATATAAGGGCTCTTTTAACTCAGTATGTCATACCTAGAAACAAGTCAACAACAGTTCCCTAATATCACAAAATATATAATCAGTATTTAAATTGCTCTGATCATGTTATGTTTTTAAACAGTTGAGTTGTTCAAATCAGTATTCAAATAAGGTTCATACAATGCCATTGGTTGATAGGTGTTTTAAGTCTTTTTAAATTTATATTTTTCTATTTCTCTCCTTTTATTTGGTGCCATTTAGTCAAGAAACTGCCATTTGTGTAAAGTTTTCCACAATCTGGATTTTGCTGTTTGTATCCCTGAGATACAAGCTGATTTTTGTTTGTTTTGGGCTCTTTCACTTTAGACTCTTTTCTCAGATGTCAGATGGGTCTTTTTTGTCTGCTACCTTCAAGAATGGGGAAAAACAAGGCTGATTTGAGCCTGGCATACATGAATGGGGCTCATTCACAATAGCTTCACTTAGGATGCTCTCGAGCCCTTTACTTGGGAACCACCAGGGTCAGTTTGTCTAGGATCCTCCTCTTTGGCTGTTCAGATCACCGAGAAAAGAGTTTCCAATCCCCTGTTCTGGGGGGCTGGACTTCACTGTCATCTTTCTGGGAACCAACTGGGGGAAAGGGCTGGAATGATTATTCCAACTGACATGTGTTCACCCAGTTCCCAGTTTTCATTAGAGTATGAAAACTTCCTCACAAATTGTGCGTAATCTCTCACCTAGAAACATATATTTTATACTTTCCAGAGAACATATCCTCAGATTGTTGCCAGGATGGGAGCGGACCAACCACTCAGCTTCATAGAGTAGAACCTGGTCTAGGGAATAGCTATTTCTTGAAAGAAGTTCAACAGAGCTTCACTATTTTAGCTCATCCCTTTCATTGTCCCCTACTTTCAGTCATGCCAGCAGTGCCTTTTAGAGATTCTGTGAGGTAAACTGAGTTGGTCTTGGCTTTTTCCACTGTCAATTTATGGTTCAGTTCTGTCTGCTTTCCAGCTTTCAAAATTTCATTATTTTCTACTCTTATGTTCTATCCTAGAAGCTTTATGGTTTAAAGAAGAATTAAATCTTTTTATTGGGAGATCAAGGGAGCAGGAGTAAGTTCTTGTATTCAATTTGCTACTCCTGGAATTCAATTGATTTTTAAGTATACTGGCTGAGGAATAATTGATCTCCTATCTCATGATACTTTAGTGTCTAATTAGAGTGGAGAATTGGAAAAATTTGATTTTATAGTTGAAGGAAGATTTCTCCTGGATGAAACTATTATAGATCATTTAGTTATTTGCAAGATGCATGGATAACAAGTGCAACACACCAAGACTTCAGGCTGAAGTTCATGAAGTTCATTGTACAAAGACTCAAATTTTAAGTTTCTTACTAAACTTAGGACTCTACTACCTCAGGACAAAAACTCACTCTGTGACTGTTGCAAAACCAGCTGTTCCTACAGCTGCTCAAAGCCAAGAAGCAGTTGGCAGGATTAAGATATTTTATCTGGTACAGGGCTTCATTCCAAACTCACATTGGCCAACACAGGAAAGGAGTCCAAGGCTGTCCAGGCTTCTTTGGACCAGCAGCTGGGAAGGCTCCTCGGTGTCTCCCTGAGGCTGGGTGTGGAACCTTCTCTGGGGTCCTCTGGAAACTTGTTGGTGTGATTTCTTTTTCTTGGATGAGGTTGCGGCTCATTTTTTTGACCTACTTATAATGGCTGTCCTCCCTGTTTAACACACTCTAATTCAGTTAGATTTAGTGAGTCCTGCCCTTTTTTAAGAATGATGCTGGACTTTGCATTTTCCCGAATTTTGAGGATGCTGGTGGGACTCTCGATTTATCATTGTCCTGCAGGTATATATGCTCTATAGGGAAAAAAGTGGGGCTGTACCCTGACGCTACAAGTCAGGGATGTACTGAGGCACAAGTATCTCAGGGTAAAGATTCTTGTTGAGCTGTTTTCCTAGGAGTGAGGACCCTAATAAAAGGCAACAGATGCTGAAGAAATTTCCTGCCACCATAACCCTCTTTATTTGAGTTTT